GGCAGAACATGGATGTGATCATGGTGGTCGGCGGCGTGTCGGAGGGCGGGGACTACCTGAGCGAGTGCGTGGGCTACTTCGTGGACGAGGACCGCTGGGTGAACCTGCCCCACATCCACAACCACCTGGACGGGCACGCCGTGGCCGTGACCGAGTCCTACGTGTACGTGGCGGGCTCCATGGAGCCGGGCTTCGCCAAGACTGTGGAGCGCTACAACCCCAGCCTGAACACGTGGGAGCACGTGTGCAGCCTTGTGACCCGGAAGCACTCCTTCGGGCTCGCCGAGGTCCGGGGCAAGCTCTACAGCATCGGCGGCCACGGCAACTTCAGCCCCGGCTTCAAGGACGTGGCCGTCTACAACCCCGAGCTGGACAAGTGGCTCAGCCTGGAGTCGGCGCCCAAGATCCTGCGTGACGTCAAGGCGCTGGCCGTGGAGGACCGCTTCGTGTACCTTGCCGCGCGCACGCCGGTGGACCGCGACACGGAGGACGGGCTGAGGGCCGTGATCACCTGCTACGACACCGAGACGCGGCAGTGGCAGGATGTGGCCTCGCTGCCTCTCATCGACAGCTACTGCTGCTTCCAGGCGGCCGTGGCCAGCTCCAGCTTCTACCAGACGGCGTCGTGCTGCCCCAGGAGCTACGCCATGGAGAACGCGGAGGCTGTGCGCAAGATCGCCAGCCACGCGTCGGACGAGATCCTGGAGAGCCTGCCGCCCGAGGTCCTGAGCACCGAGGGCGCCGCCGTGTGCTACCACCGGGATGACGTGTTCATCATCGGGGGCTGGAAGAACAGCGACGACGTGGACAAGCAGTACCGCAAGGAGGCCTACCGCTACTGCGCCGAGAGGAAGCGCTGGCTGCTGCTGCCGCCCATGCCCCAGCCGCGCTGCCGGGCCACCGCCTGCCACGTGCGCATCCCCTACCGCTACCTGCACGGCTCACAGAGGTACCCCATGCCCCAGAACCTGATGTGGCAGAAGGACCGCATCCGGCAGATGCAGGAGATCCACCGGCACGCGCTGAACATGCGGCGGGCACCCAGCTCCCAGATCGAGTGCTGAGCCCTGTGGGAGCCGGCGCCGTCTGCGCCCGTCCCCTGCCCTGGCGACCTGACTCACGCGTCCCAGACGGCCGTGCTGTTTAATGGAGGTGCTGGGGTTCAGCGGAAGAGTGGGAAGCGGTGAACACGTGGTAATTGTTAGCTTGCGACCTTTGTCTGTCTTTGGCGAGTGTGCGCGCGCGTGTGTGTGTGCGTGTGCGTGCATGTGTGTAGTAGGTAAGTGAGACCTTAGGAGAAGCAGGGCTAGCCATTTGGTGGCTGTTTCTGCCAGCGAGGTAACCCTTGGCCCTCGGGTTTCGAACGGGCTGTAAACCTGGCCTCATCTGCACACCCCACACCTTTCACTGTCACAGAGCGGTTGGCTCCGACAGAGTCCGAACTCACGCGTTAAGCCCTTGTCCGCAGGGGCTGTGTGCAGTAGTGAGCCCGAAATCTGAAGGGGAAGCACGATTTCTCAGCCCCGTGATCTCGCTGTGCTCACACGGCACTGGAAGAGCCGTCGCGGTCTTTTCTGGAAGAGGTGACTGATCTGCAGTGGGGCTTAGCTGCATGCCCCGTCACTCCATTACTGTTACTCTGGTATTGCCAGATATTTTCAGGACTTTAGCAGCTGTTTATGACTTCACACCATGCCTCCAAGATGCGGGTGGTCGGCCAAGAGAACGGATCGAGGAGAGGAAGTTTCGGTGTGAGGTTCGTCTGGAAGAGGACTGTTGCACCCATAGGCAGGGACCACGTGTGGCCCGGCCAGGCTGTGTTCGGGGTGCAGCACCGCTGATAGTCAGCACCGCAGGCCTCTGTCTTTGTTTTTCCTCCAGTGCATACTGTATAGAATCCTCATTTCTTTTTCAAAACGGGAAGTAACAATTTAGAAAAACGTTGCTAAAGAACAGCTTTATTTCTGGCCCTGATTGTGACTGTTTTATCCAGGTGCCGAGATGTGAGCCTGTGATGCCAAATCTGGGTGCCTGCTGGTGGCTCTTGAAAGATTTACCACTGCAGTTGTCAGTTACTTATTTTTGTGAGTTCTCCTGATTGCAGGACACCGGCCAGCTCTACCTAGTGAGCACTCAGAGGCGCGAATGGCGGCACGCACCTACAGTCCCAGCACTCAGGAGGCCAAGGCAGGGGGATCGCCACGAGTAGCCTGAGCCGTGTAGTGAAACCGTGTCTCTCAGAACCAGACCAGCATGACCACCGAGCAGGACTGGGGCACGTCTGACAGCCCTGGTTAACAAGGGCTATGAGGACAGCCTGTGGTGTGGGTGGGGTGTGTCTTTATCCTCTTAGAGACTCTGGAATATCACCGGTAAAGTCGGAGTCCAAATGCAGCACTGTTTTCTTCCTAGGCTGTTACACTTAAGCGTGTTGTAGGATCAGACATGGGAAGGGCGAAGAGCACCACCGGCTGACCGCCTTGTTCGCCTCTCGGGTTTGATCCCTTCTGGCTGCTGTCCCCGCCGGGACAGGGTCTCTCAGTGAACGCATCAGTTAAGTCGGGCGGGGACAGCAAGTCCGAGCTTCGTGTACATCCTGATCCTGCCCCACTCACGGGTGTGCACCTTGTCCTATTTTAGGAAAGCCCCGCGGGTCCTCAGCTGCCAGGGCTCTGCCCCTGCGCTCACTGCAGTGTGCTCTCCGGATGGGGCTGGGCTTCGGCCCAGTCACGGGGCCCTCTGTGGGGTCCCCCTTCCTTCACATGAGCGGCAGAACCTAGGACCCAGGATGAGTGTGCCCGCTTTGACAAGAGTGGCTGACATTGGTTTCTGACCAGCAGGTGGCCTGGGCCTGGCTGGAGCAGGGTAAGTCCTTTGTGCATGGTCATGTGTGCAGGTTGTCCGAGCACGGAATGTCCACACGTGTGTGACTGCACATCAGTAGTTCGTAGTTCTGAAATCCCAACTAAC